TCTACTGTATTTCTCTCTCTCTCTTTCTATTTCTCTCTATCCCTCTACCTACCTACCTACCTACTGTATTTCTCTCTCTCTCCCTACCTATCTACTGTATTTCTCTATTTCTCTCTATCCCTCTACCTACATACCTACCTACACACATTCTCTCTCCCTACCTACCCACTATATTTCTCTCTCTCTCCCCCTCCCTCCCTCCCTCCGTACTCTCTCCCCTACCTATCTACTGTATTTCTCTCGCTCTATCTCTTTTCTATTTCTCTCTCTCTATCCCTCTCCCTACCTACCCACACTCTCTCTCTCCCTACATACCTACTGTATATCTCTCTCTATTTCTCTATCTATCCCTTTATCTACCTACCTACCTACTGTATTTCTCTTTCTTTCTCTCCCTCTCTATCCCTCTATCTACCAACCTACTTTTTTAAAAAAATTGCCTTTTCAAAACCTTGGTGCATCTTATACTCCGGTGCATCTTATACTCCGAAAAATACGGTATTTGTTCATCGTAGTATAATAGATAATGCTTTAACCAAAGGAAATAAATTACCTTCATCAGAAGTTCTTTAAGAAAAGTGCTGATTAGAGTTGCTATTTTATCTCCATCCAGAAGATGGAAATGGCAAGCAGTGTCTACATAGTAGTAAACAATTCGGTCAGCATCACCATCCAACGAGCAGCACCTCTCCCCGGGATTCATTTGTAATCCTAACAAGCAAGACAGCAATGCAGAAGTGTTCATTGGCAAGAATTTGAAGCGTAAAGACTACGGCAGGGATCCCCAACCCCTGGTCCATGGACCGGCACAGAGCCAAGGCATTTCCGAAACCGGGCCTTGCAAACAAGTGAAGCCCCAACCATGGGATGCAAGCAGAATGCAAAACCACGCTCCACCAGTCCGTGGAAAAACCACTTTCCAAGGACCTGGAACCTGATGCCCAAAACATTGAGGACCACTGGGTTATGGTTTTTACATACTTCCAAAACAAACTGCCAGATTAAATCAAGAATGGGCAACATATTTAGATGACGTTCAGCATCCATCTGCCCTACCCAGTATGACCAATGAAAACAGGTGGAGTTGCAGTCAGGCAACCTTTAGAGAAATGTTTACTGGTCTCCTTTGAGTTGTATAGATAGTCAGGCACAGATACTCTTTGCAGTGCAAAATAACAATTTTAAGTTTCCCTTTCTGCCACAAACCTACCAAAGGGTCAGAACATTAATAAAGGGGTGCAAATGATCTACTGAAGGAGTTCAGCTCCTTTGTATGGGAATCTCTTCAGCAGGATGCATGAATGGAGCTAGTATCTTCAGGATTTCAGCCGCAGTGTCACAGTGGTTAGAGTGCAGTACTGCAGGCTGCCTCTGCTGCCTGCAGTTAGGCAGTTCGAATCTCACCAGGCTCAAGCAATAGCAATAGCAGTTAGACTTATATACCGCTTCATAGGGCTTTCAGCCCTCTCTAAGCGGTTTNCGCGGCCGGGGCTGGAGTGCGTGGCGCTTCCCGGTTCACGCCCTTCGCCTGCGGCCATGTGAGCTGGTCGGATCCGTGCTCCTCTGAAATCAAGGCGCGTCGCTCGACTCCGGGGTTTGTTAACGGCCAGCTCGGGCAGGAATCTCAGGCGGCAAGTGGGTTAGTGGCGAGCCAGAGGTTTCTGCTTAACGACCACATCTTCAGCCTGGCCCTCCCCGATGGGCCTCCTTCCCCTTTTACAGGGAGTCCTCGACTTACAACGCCTGGTTCAGGGACCGTTCAAAGTTAGATCGGCACTGGGGAAAAAAGGGACTTATGACTGCTTTTCACCCTTACGGCCGTTGCAGCGTTTCCCACGTTCAAAATCCAGATCCTTGGCAAGTGACTCATATTTAAGACCGTTGCTGTGTCCGAAGGTAACGTGATCGCCTTTTTCTACCTTCTGAAAAGCAGAGTCAATTGGGAACAGCCAGATTCACTTAACAACCAAGGTACTAACTTATCCACTGCGGTGATTCGCTTAACAACTGAGGCAACAAATGGGGCAAAACTCACTGAACAAATGGCTCGCTTAATGTGAAATTTTGGACTCAATTGTGGTTGTAAGTCGAGGACTACCTGCATTGGATCGCTCCAAGCAGAATGTCAGCAACAACTTTCTGAAAGGAGAAATGAATTGATTATAGGACCTGGGCACGTGTAGCTGGCGTGTAATAATAGTCGGGCTACCGGATGACCCCAAGATGGTGGCAAAGAGATGTAGGAGCATCTTATTCTTTTCTGCCTTGTGGAGGGCAGATTTTTGCAGCTCAGATCTAGTAACCCTAGAAATGGGGGCTGCTTAATTACCGCCTTTGGAGTTTTTCTAAACATTCCGATTTGGTGTTGCAATTATGCGTGGAATAGCGCAAGAGCGGGAGAGTGTTGGGAGTCTGGAGATCCCGCCCAAAGAGGACTTTGATTGGCCCCTGTCTTGTAAGACAGTGGCCACCAACGGGTGGTCCACAGAAAAATTATTTGCATTTTATATTGTTGAAAGAAATGTCCTTCTGGGTTCAGCTCCAAGTGGGGAAGAAGACACTGGAGNAGCGAGAAGGGCCTGCTTCCCTGTTTGTAGCAATGTTTGCACATTGAGGCAACCGATATTGTTTAGCCCTAAAAAGGAATGGATACGGCAATCCATGGAAGCTGTTTCGGCTGGATAATTTACAGGTTAGCACTACAGGTAGTTCTCTACTTACAATCACAATAGGGACTGGAATTTCAGTCATAAGTCATTGCGATCATAAGCGGAGGCTCCCCAAATGACTGGGCCCAATTTTTTTTACTGCTTTTACAGCGGTCATTAAAAAACAGTTGTAAATCAAAATCATGCATTTGTTAAGGGAACCACATAGTCATTAAGTGAATTCATTCTCCCAAAGAGGTGTTTTTTTGCCAGAAATCTGCAAAAAAGTCACAAATAGCAATCACGTGATGATCCGCAGGATGATACACCGAGCTGTAAATTTGAATCCACTCTCAAGCACCCAAAATGCACCGACAGAATATTTGTAACTCAGAATTGAATTGTGTTCAATATCAAAAATGCAGCCATGTGACCAGGGGGGGGCATGACATTTGATAATGATGCTTTATGGGCCACAATCCCATTTTCTGAGGTCTTTGTAACTTCAAATGGCAGTTAAACAACCAATCATTAAGTCGAGGATTACCTGTATACTAAAATGCAGGTTAAAAAAAGCATTTTCCAGTTTAAACTAAACAGAAATACAACAGTTAATAGACATTGTTTTCAAGGCCCAAATAATTTTAGAACCAGAGTTCCTACACAAAAGCTGTTCTCTTCCTCTGCAATGCTCAGTTTCTTACTTCAGGGTTATGAGAAGCTGTAACCATCACACCAATAGTGGATTTGGTCTTCTTCGACCTCAGGACAGCTAGAAGTCCCATACGAAACATGACATGGTTGAGGTTTCCTGCTTTGCAACGGAATCCAGCCGTTCCATATTGGAGGAAAAACCCCAGAGGTTTAGCATGTAGTTTTGAGTATTTTGTAACTGCTTCGACATCCATTTCTGCAGGGTACACAAGAAACGACAGTAATTTATTGCCAGAAATTAGAACTGCACATCCTGTAAAACAAAACCCTGCCATATAAATTATTAGGAAAGAAAACTGAATTTCATTCGCAGTAGAATCTATTCCTTATGCTTTATAAAAAGCAGCTTAAAAATGTGTGTGTGTTTTTTTTTATACCAGAATCATTATTCGCCAAGGGTACTTATAATACAAGACTTTTAAAAGCGCAGAACAAAGTGTTGCGACTTCATTATCCGGTTCTGTTCGCAAGGACTTTGTTCCTTATCGTCTGGCAATCCTAGGTCGCTTCCCTGCTTGGGCACCAAAAGGGAGAAGGCGGAAACTGATCTTGGGGGGGATTAGTTACTTTCCTTTTCCATATCAATCTTTTCCTGGATAGCCAGAAAACTGCAAAGTAGAAATTCAATTACACTGGCGCAGTGGTTAAATGCAGCACTGCAGGCTACTTCAGCTGACTGTAGNAACCTTGAGCCAGTGAGATCTGAACCGCCGAACTGCAGATAGCAGTCAGCTGAAGTGGCCTGCAGTACTGCACTCTAACCACTGCGCCACCTCGGATCTTCAACCGGTTCTCCCGAATAGGTGCGAACTGGCTGAATCCCACCAATGATTTATGCCTAGTCTTCGAGTGGCCTACCTACAGGAGGCTTCTGATGAACTTTGACAAAATCAGCCCCACACATGTGGTTGAGCTTCCCTTCCCTTCCATCGTTGGCCAAGTCTATTGCCAGGCTCTCTGAAAGGTATGGTTCCATTTCTTTGAGTTTTAGGGCTCCTATGCCATTCGCACAATCGATCTTCAGTCCCCTATGGCCATCTTTCTGGGAAGCAGCCTGCAGAAAAGAAAGCAAAAGGGAGCTCAGGAAAGAAGGGTGGATAGACCCCAGCAGGTTTTGGGGAAATGAGATTTGTAACTTCCAACTTTCACTTTACAGGGTCTGTCCTGCCGCTACAGCTTATTTTCACTGAGCTATTTTCATTAAATAACTCATCAGAGCTAAGTACATATTTTTATTTTTATTTTGTTTGTTTTCTTTTGTTCTGTGTTCCGGGATTGGGCGGCCTATAAATCTAATAAATTAAATTAAATTAAATTACAAAAATAAGAAGTGCAAATTAAAAATGTCATAAATGAATTTCAGTAGTTATTGGGCACTATAAATAAAATGAGTAGGATGGTTCCATGACCCGACAAATGCACGCCCGACAACAGTATGCCGATGAAACCGCGGTGATAAAACCGCAACATCGACAGCGGTCCAAAGGTGCACCGACAAAAGAGCGCCGACAGAAGCGCGATTACGGTTAAGGTAAGGATTAGGGTAAGGGTTAGGTTTAGGGTTAGGTTTAGGGTTACCTTTAGGGTTAGGTTTAGAGCGCGCTTCTGTCGGCACGCTGTTGTCGTCGCCCTTCTGCACTCATTCATTGGCGCGCTTTTGAACTCACGGTTTTCTCCCCGCGGTTTCATTGGTGCGCTTTTGTCGAGCGCGCATTTGTCGGTGAACCAGATGGTTCATTTTTGCCCATAGGATTATACATCTGCTTCAGCAAAAATATTTTACACATATTCAAAAGCAAGTAGAGTGAAGAACAGCAAACTTTCCTTAAGAAGGTTCTTCTTTGATAGGATAAAAGTCCATTTTGATCCATTAGCTTGTGCTTTGAGAGTGCTGATACCTCGCTGGGGTTATGGCTAGTCTTAAAAGGACTCATGAATTTTTAATAAATGCACTTAAGAATCCAAACCAGATCTTCTCTTTAGGGAAGATGATTCTTTTTACCTGCATTGTAAGTTCCAGAAAAGCCTTGGAGAGCTTTTGATAATAGCCTTCCACTGTTGGTGTTCCATAGCTGCCTTGGGTGTTGTGACAACGGACCATATAGTGTAACTGTGGGGTTGTTACTAAACCATAATCTAGTGAGAGAGAGAAAGAAGAGTCAAATATTCATTTACCCATAGCAATAGCACTTAGACTTATATACTGTAAAGCAGTGTTTCTCAACCTTGGCAACTTGAAGATGTCCGGACTTCAACTCCCAGAATTCCCCAGCCAGAGAATGCTGGCTGGGGAATTCTGGGAGTT